CCCCAAAACCCCAAAACCCCAAAACCCCAAAACCCCGACAAAAAATATTTTTATTGAAAGAACTTGTATATTTTTACATATTGCTTAGAGGTTCAGAATATTTTCTATCAAGATTGTTCTCGCTTGGTTCCTTTTCGGATACAATTTCTGACTCTTTACTCACCAAGATCCTTGATTCAGATTTTGGAGGCTTCTCTTCCTTCACTTGATTTGAAACTAAATTCTCAGAATATGGAAGTTGGACGCCAGGGAGGTCCAAATTATCAGTTCTCTTCTGATAATCTACAGATTACCTACAAGATTACCAATAAATTGTTGGCTGATTCTCTCTTGACTCTTGGTGGGTACCTTTCATGCATCAAAATTTATCTTTCTCAGATCTTTTTGTCCTTTGAACTCTCTGATCTTCATTGCATTAGTGATCGGTCTCATTTTCTCACTAGCTAGGGAACTAATCATAAACAAACTTTCTGCTTCGCCTTGATGCTTTCTTTTGGACGAGCTCATAGTTAATGATTGGTGTTGAGAATTCTTAATTTTGCTTATGTCCTTTGTAAATATTTGTAGCTGTTCCATACTTAAGTGCGTTATTTGTAAACCTTCCTATTTCTGTTAGCCCTTCTGAGAAACCTCTGGTTGGCTTGTTTGAGGTACTCAGAGTTTATATAAACAGTCTTATTTCTAGGTTCCTCATATGAATTTTGTGGGTCACGCTTTCTTATGGCAACATGCACGTAATCATGACAGTGGTGGTATTTAGACCGAGCGCTGCAAGTTTCCGAGCTATTTAGTTTTAGGCCTTAATTGAGTCGTTTTTCTTCCAATATCCTTAGCATTTTTGGCCAAACCACCGTAATTTAGATTGTTGTTCCGAGTAATTTCTCTAGTCTTTGCAATCAAAGGCTCTTTTAGATAGAGGGATTTCATCTTATTCATCAGTATATCCTCAGCTGTATCTTACAGATAGTCTTCAGGCCTGATCTTCTCATTTCTGCTCAGAGTAGATTTGAGCTTGATATTGTTTTTAATTCCTTCAATTTCCTCAATAATCTCAGGGGTTTTGGGGTTTTGGGGTTTTGGGG